ATGTATGTGTAAATAAAGGTGTGAATCAAAGCAGTCCTTGAACTTGAATGAGTGAAACTGTAGGCTGTATAACAGGTCGCTGCAAAGAGGAGGAGTGTGCAATTGTCTTCAATTAAAATCTTGAAATTAAAATTGAACTTAAAAATTGGAAGGAAAGGATTCCCGGGTGAAACAGTTACAGTTTGACTCTGCAGTACATTTCAGAAGGAACTTCAGTGAACTCTGCAGTAAACTTCACGTGTGCAGGGTGAGACAATTCAAGCGGAATTTCGAGCAGGGGAATTCAGTAGAGTAAATTCAGAAAAACTTCAGGAAGCTTACCCCTGCGATGAGGAGTGGAAAGGTTCTTGCAATAACGGCGCCCCGCAGGGATCACACAGCTTACCACAGTGGGAAGAAGCTGCGAAGACACACTTGAGTAGGTTGCTCCGTGGAGCGCGATTTCAGGCTGCTTCGCGGTGAGCATTAGCCCTTTAAGATTACTGCAGGTTAGACCTTGACTGGAAAAAATGCTGGGTCCGAGTAACAGTATTGTTGAACAAGAATGCAAGTGAAACGATTGAAACAATTCTAAAATGGCAGGTACGTTTTCAGCACCACACCACCAGGCTCTTCGTTGGCCACTCCCTGGTGGTGGGTGGAGTGGCCCCCTGCTGCTGTACATTGGTCACAAAAGTCATAGGGTAGGTTAGAAAGAGTTAGGGTAGTGTCCTTGGAAACAGGAGTGGACACACACACACACAGGATCAAGCTGGCAAAGCACGCAAGCCATTAGGAACGTCACGAAGTTGCTATCGCTGTTTGACAAAGGTTCCTGTACAGTGTTGCAGTTAGAGTAGGTTCGATGAGACTTAACGTGCCCTTAGGGTCAGGAAACACCGCTGCCGCTATGATACTATGGCATGATCGAAAGACAGAGCTGGGATTGTTCGAGTGTATGCTCATCCAGGCCATCCATACGCATGCTGCATGCATCCTTATTTCACCCATTGGTCAGCCAACCTATAGGCCACTCTTCGAATTAGTCCAGGTTGAAGCCCGTGCGAATTCTGAGGCCATGGCCTTAGCAGTGGAGGCCAATGATGAAGAACTCAGCCTGAAGCTGCAGTGGGAAGGGGCAGGACGGCTTCTCTTGGTTTCTGCCGTGGTCTAAACCGCAGTTGGTTCAAAGGGAACTCTGCATACGTACGCCACCATCGAGGCCGTACGGGATGACCATCCGCTCACGACCTGTAAAATAGGGCTTCCCTTGCAAACATTCTAGTGAACACGCTAGCGGCAAGTTAGACAAAGTTGAGGGCTCATTAGAAGCACACGCAGTCATTGAGCACTCGATGAAATTCCGATGCCACTCATAGTTGATCGAATCTAGACGGATGTCATGTTGCCTTGGACAGGACAGATGAAGTGCGTATGCCTCCTGATGGCAGAAGATGGCAAGCTTTTAGGAACACTTTGGGAAGGCGGGGCAGTTTCATCCAGCTTGTGCAGCCGCCTTGGATGCTTGTACAACCATCATTTCTGTGCCTGAGGCCATTCTGAAGAACTGGGCTTGCGGTATCACTCCAAAACGCCCTCCTACCATGAGGACACCGCTCCGCCGCGCGCGCGGTGGACCCCGACGACGGAGCGCTCGCCAGGAGGGCCAGGATGAAACAGGACTGTTCGGAATGAGCAGGCCATCGGGCCATCGGTCATCCAGAGTCTTCGTTTTGGAGAAGTGTGCATCCTGCTGAGGTCCTCAGGAGCGCCGGATGTTGATGGAAGTTGGTAAAGACTAAGAGTGTTTCAAATGCCTCATGTTTGTTCCCCAAGTGAATCCTCTGGGAAACTGGGAGGATGATCATAGACTGTTTGTTCCATTTTGTTCCTAGGACACCGATGACGAGGACGAGGACACAGATGCCCGGCAAGACAGTGGGAGGTGGATGGGATAAAGTTGGGGGTAGAGCATTTCTTGTCTCGGGCCTCAAGAGATTCGAGAGGCGTTGTTCGTTGATTGGAACATGAACTCGCGATTATCAACGAGACAAGTGGATTGATTGGGTTTGAGTTCAGTTTTGCTTGATTGTTCATGTCGACAATCATTAGTGCTCCTACAACCCGCGCAGTCATGACGGTGCAGTGTGGTCCAAATTTGGCCTTTCGAAGTGCTGTACGCCACTTCAGTGTTTGTTTGCATTGTTGTGGGACACTTCCCATGGTCACAAATTTCATGTGAAACCATCAGAGGTAAGTCAAATACACGCACACCGATGCACACCGTTCAGATAGTGTTACAGACGTTGGGCATCTTCAGGTTCAGTTCAGAAACGACAACAGAGATATGAATCCCTCCCTCCTGACCCTTGGCCATCCTATATACTGAAGACAAATTATATACACATATTTAAATCATGTCCTTGTTTTCAGGGGTTGGGCCACTGTCCAGTGGCCCAAAATTCCCACGACGGGCAGGGGTATGCCCCTGGTGCCCCTACAAGCAGCACATAACCCTGGATCGCCAGGCACTGTACATAGAGTTGCGCATCTATAAGCATCTCTACTTCATATGGGCAGATATAGATATGGAGGTACCCTTGGCAGGCGTTGGTTTCCAATTTTTGTATCTCAGGCACCACAATTGAATGCACCAGTCTCAAGTCTCAGCTACTGACTCCTAGAGCCAGCAAAGACCTGAAGGAGGACCATGTACATTGATCATAGATGATATTATCCAGTTACCCGGAAACTGTTTGGCTCTTGTTTGCTGGAACGGGGCGACAAACGCTGGAAGCAAACCTGTGAGGTCCGCCGTGATGGACCTCACTTCGGTCCGCCTTGTCGTCTCAAGACTTGGACCTGTCGTCTGGGTCCCTCTCTTCGCTCTCGCGTCGCGTCCCTCGCGTCCCTCAGGTGTTGCTGGGCGATCAGTTGTCCCTGCGCTTGGGCCAAGTCTCCAAGGAGGTCTTCGCGCTGGCAGTCGTCCTGGCGCGACTGGTCGGTCCGGACTGGTCGGATGAGACGTGTGCTAGCAAGGCGGTCGGTCACGTGGTGATCAACACGACGCGTATGTGGTATATATGCGATATATGGCATGCTTCAAACTTGAAGTGAAGAGCTTTTGCATTTGTTTGTTAGATCAGGGCTATGCTCGAAGCCATGCAGCTTGTGGAGTGGAGGGTCCATTTTCAGCGACTTTTGTGCCGCAGGTTGGTAGTCAGGCACAAGCTTCTTGGGCATCTGCTGATGTACTGAGCCACTTTCAGGAAGAACCGGTGGTTCCAAAAGAGATGAGGCAGGTCATGCTTTCAGAGCAGAACAACCTATTTCACTGCCCTCAAAAACCAGATAGGCAGCGTATGCATGCAAATTGGTTGGGCAGAATGAGCATTTTGAATTCTTATGCTTGGACGATGCCGAACCTGATTGGTAACATGTTGCTACTGGTTCAGCTCCAGATTATTCTGCTGGAGCAATGTGCTACTTCAGTACTTCCAGTTGTCAGTGGAGGAATACCATGCAATGAAGCAGCACAACCTAGAAAACGTGCACGGGCAAACTCATGTCAAATAAGCAGATGAGAATAACTTCAGTGTGCTCGCAAGGCTTTGACATGTATATACGAGGTTTGTGGATTGCACAGGCTTTTTGAGCTGCCTTAGCTATCCAGGGAACCATTGAGCTTTGTATAGCGAAGGAATCACGGAGCCAGCATTTGGCTCCAATCCTGAATCTCAACACACAAACAACCCTGGGGTGTTTTTTTTGACTCTTAGGTGCTCTCCCACCACTGGAACCCCAGACTTGATTTTCTGGTGGTAGAATTGTCTTCTTGGTGGGATAACCCAGTGAGGTAGCCTTGCAATTTCTTTCAAGACTAGCTGCCTAGCTTTGGAAGAGGACCTTGAACAAGTGCATTTCTTGCTGTGCCCCATTTTTCAACTCCAAGCCTTCCACTATGTCGCTATGTCAGATAACCATATGTATCCCTAGCCCATCCAGCCCTCAGGACTCATTTTTGCACCAGGCAACCTCAAGGAAGAATCTTTTGTTGTGATTGACTGATTTGCTGCCAAACTCCTCACATTTGGTGTAGGAGCTCACGCTGAGTCTGCGGCGGGAAGAGCAACGGCTTTGGAAGTACCGACAGCGGAGGTTGCGTATCTCGGAGCCGAAAAAACAAGCGAAGCGAGGTGGTGGTCGACAAGGATACCCGACACAACAGCTTGGGCGCAAATCCAAGGCCCGCAGATGAACCCTAAACCCTAAACCCACCCTGAGTGCAAACCCATACCAACCCACATAATCCACAGACGCCCACAGGGTGGTTGATCTTTTTTTTTTCATTTGATGTCGCCTTTTCCGGGTGAACATTGGTGCCAAGATGTGCCATGATCTTCTTGTCGTCTTGATGCGATCGTCGTAGGAGAAACTTAATCTTATATCAACATCGCATCAAGGTACAGAACCCAGTGGGTCAACGCACCAGTTTAACCAGTTCCTTTGGACTTGCTGGGGGGCATTTTTCTCCTTCATAACATACCCACGAGATGCTTTGCAGATGTCTTTTTTCAGATGACTGGTGCAGCAGATCTGGGACTCCAAGGCCAAGAGGCCAACGCCTTGTGCAGCTGTATCTTCTACCGTGGCCCGGGCCGGACTTGGCGCATGGAGCCCATGAACATGGCAATGCGCCTGGGATGGTCCCAAGGATGTGGCGGTTCTGTTGACATGAATCTAATGCATTGTAATCATAGTGCATTGCAGACTACACTTTTGTTGCATACGTATTCACATTGTTGTTGAACAATAATAGTGCTCCGTCTTAATAGATATGTAATCTTGGGCAGGTGTTCAGTCACATGTCATGTGTAGAACAAGCACATGGACATTCTGGAATGTGAGACTGAGATCCTCAAGTTGCAATATCACCCATCCACAAAGTCGCATTCCAGGGTTGATAGACTGATAGACATTGATCAAATTTAACATACTGTAATTTAAAACCAACATTTGGGAATTCAGTAGGCGTGCTTCTTGGTAGCCTTCCATGACTTGTTCTGTTTCTTGTATGCATGCCGCTGCATGCCATTTTGTCTTCCTTCTCATTGTCAGGCTCTTGATGCACCTCAATGAGGCACGGTTCACTTTTGGAAGGTCTGGCATTTTGAGGGTCGGTGCCATTGTACTCCCCATCGGCCCCTGGCATTCTCTCAACAAGCGAAGGCCTTCTGAGGACCTGCAATGTTTGTGAATCTCATGGTTATGAATGACGAACATACTTCAGAGTTTCAGTTTGCCCTCCAGTTTGCAGGAGATTCTTCAAGCTTTCCTGTAACACTGTAAGCCTTTCATGTCCACTCCAGGTCCAACCGCTTGAGACGACCAACCGCCATGTGTTCCGCCGAGACACCGGGCGGATCGCAGGTGCAGGCGACGCCCAGCTTCGCTGTGTCGGAGATTGCCCGCTTCACCGCACTGAAGCTGCGGTGGATGGTCAAGGCGAAAAAGCCGGGAGGATGGAGGATGGAGATCCGGGCCAAGCGGGCTCAATATTTGAGGTGGATTGATTTGCCCAAGCTTACTGTACAAGAATCATAGAGATGCGCCGCTGTTGTTTAGTTGCTGTCAAGTGAGCCAGGTTTTTCCAGGCTCCTCCAGGGAGGTTGGAAGAGACCAACCACACCAACTGTTGGCATCCTTCTCTCCAAATGATTTCACGAACTGCGTATGGCACGAGCTTGGGGCTTCTGATGCCAGACCCTCCTAGGGATCCCGAACGCCTTCGCGCCTTCGCTCGCGGCGCAGCGGACGAAGTGAGGGTCCTTCGAGGTGAGGCATTGACGCGGAGAGGCAGTGGAAAGAACGTCACAGATCAAATGACCATCAACATGAACATGGTGAGGGTGGTTTGAACTTTTCCATCCAAAACCTCAAGTCCTTCCCTGATGGAACATATCAACCACCCTCACCACGTTCACCACCATTTGATGGAACCATGTTTAGTCACGTTTCTCCCCTCCAATGGAACTGCCGGGACGGTGATTTCAAACGCGGCAGAGGATCGCCGTTGGAGCACCTGCAAGGAGGAAAGAGGCAGGGTAAGAACCGATGGGAAGATCCTTCCCAACGGGAAAATCTGGTGTGGGACATGCAACCATTTTTCACGAATGAGCCAGCCTCCTCACCCCATTGCCCGACCCATGCGAGATGTACCCGGAAAAGTACACTCAAGAAATTGAAGATTTGGACACTGCCTCAGATGCATGGGGACCCATGACCAAAGTGGTAGAAAGGAGGGGCTATACTGCAGAAGTGGCCAGACTCGTACATACACATGGAATCACGTGGATATTTCTTGCCATTGGAAGGTCTGGTGCAAGTGTTGCTCATTGCTGTTCATCGTTTCAATGCTGCTGCTGCTGCTGCCGCCGCCACTGCATGTGGACAGGCCTCCATGAGCGCGGCAGCTGAGCGTGTACAGTCAGAGAATTACGCGCAAGACCAGGAGCAAAGCAATGGGAAAGGATGTCCTTTAAGCACTGTAAGAGATATATTCCTTCACTCATTCCTCCTAGTCAACACTTTCAGAATGGGTGGGTCTAGCGGTTTCATTTGGTGACTCCCTCTGTGTTTTTTGTCCGGTAAATGAGGCCAGTGATCAGTCTTCATGTCCACTTTGGTGGGCTTCATACTCAAATCGAGCACAGAATCCCAAATCACCTTGGGATTGCATTTGTTTCTGGAGATCTTGTGCCAGAATTCGTTTGTGCACGCGTAGGTCGGTCAGGAAATCACCTCCACATGCTTCGTTTTTTGCAGCGCAAGTGAGGCGTTGCACGTGAGGCACTCGTTTCGGTGAGGCGTTCATTTGCGACCGGTAGTTCGGCCAAAAGAGAGCTCGGTGCGGCGGCTCGTTCATTCGCCCACGCCAGTTCTCCACTGGTGGACTTGGTTCACTTTAGAAGTAGACCTTTTAAAAGGCTTTCGTGCATGACAGCATAAGTACTTAATACAAACACAAAAAGTAACACATGTCTATGACACATACTGTAACATAACAACTTTTGTACAGTCGCTGGACGTGTTTTTTTTGTTAAGCCCTTTGGCAGTTTTGATGGTTACATCCCTGGTCTTGGACCAAACTAGTCATGATATTTGTTCATATCTCAGGGGTCAGTCCACTAGAATCAGACTGCTACTTCCAATTGGGATCGAACTAGCTTGAACCAACTGGGTGCACCACTTCCAGTGGAGAAATGAGTAATTGTAGCATAAAGATATGTGTATAAGGACATTTCAGGACCATCATGCTTTGACACAATGCCACCATATCCTATTTTCAGCTCCCCACTGCAACGGCATCCCTACACGCTTTGCATTGCGTGCTCTAAGTCCAGGGCCAGCTTTTTAGCTCAAATCACTTCAACACATCCAACATACAACATGTTGTTTTCATGTTGTCCATGGCTATAGTCCATGCAATTGTGCTTTTCTTCCCCCCGTTGCTGACCCACAGCTCCACGCCTGGCTTTCGCCCAGGTTCAGACAATCTCTTGGCCCTGGTGCCGGAAGGCTCCGTGCCTGCGGGGCTCGGGAACCCAGCAGTGCTCACTGCGCGCCACACGAGTTGCGCGCTATCGCCGCGCCACACACGTCGCTTTCGCCGATTAGAGGGTGAGACGATTGGAGTCCAAGTGCGCGGGATTCAAGGTCAATTCAGGGTTTGGGTGGATGTTCTTAGCTTTTTTATGTCCAGTGCCTGGGGTGTAAGCTTATCCGATCAGAGACAGTTGACCGACTATATTGACCTGCCCCGTTGGTTTCCAGGTTGGCTTTCGTGACCCTCACTTATCCCTCACTAACCTACATAGCCCGAGGGCTTATCCGATTCACTTCAACAGGTGGTGTCAGGAATTGCCAAAAAATATACTGTTCCGACTGTACCTCACTGCCAGCGAAGAGGGCGCATGCCACAGTTTCCACATCTCTAACGTCGTGGCGCCGTCGGCAGGATCCAAGAAGCTGCAAAGCGACGGGTCTGGGACCCCGCGTCGTGTCCCTTTGGTTGAGAGGTGCGGCAGGTGCAGCGATCCATAACATGGATTAGGCGGTACAAAATGCAACTGTTGGATATTGTTTGTGGTGTAAGACTATTCAGGTCGATAGTAGAAGGTCATGTTGGGGTAGTTGTTGGGGTGTATAAGTTTCTTGTTGGAGTTTAATGGTGTGTTTTTGGTTCTTGTTCAAGCGTTTTTTGTATTCTTGTTTCATTGCTCCCGCGATTCGTCCTGATTCTGCGGTCTGTTGGGCAATCAACCTACAGTTGGAAGAACAAGTGGGCTGTACGGCTGTACGGCCTCCTTTTTCCCACTGGTTCTTGTGAAGTTCAACCATTGCATTGACACCTCCACCGATGATTTTGTGTCAATCCCTTGCTGCACTGGCCTTGCTGCACGGGCCATCGACTCAACTTCTTGGTCAGCTCAGGTCAAAGGCATTCAAAATGACACACCTACTGCGCAAGCCCCAGATGTTTCTCTGAAACGCAGGTGCCAAACACAGGTGTCGGTCATGACCGCCCAACTAATTGTGCTTTTGCAGCACACCCCTTTGTAACAGCTATGTCCACTCAGAACTCTTTGGCCCTCGGCTCAATTCCGAAAAAACACTTGTTGACAACGGCACAGGCACCACCGCTTGGGATTCAAGTTATATTTCAGAACATCACGAGACCCTTTCGGTTCGTCAGTTCGTCGAGCAGCACTCTTCAATAGTTTCCCTACCATCCACGGGTACGGCCAGACAGACCAGACATGACCAGACTGTTTTGGCTTTGGGCATGCGAAAACGCATGCGATACGCCTCGCCACGTATGTTTCTGGAGACCGGGCCGTAGGAAATGGTGACCGAAAGGTTGGGGTGTTTGAAGAAAAAAAGCACGAGGAGCCAGCAAATCCTTGTCCCCGCACCTTCCAGCATACCGTACCCCTTTCTGCAAGAGTGGAAAGGCGCTTTTGTCCTCATACAGGAGCCAAGCGCTTGGTGTCCAGAAGAAACAAGCCAATGCCAAAGCAAAACACCAACTAAGATGTCGGTCCGCTAATGGCTTTTTTGAACGCATTCAATCAATTCAAACCATTTCCAAACCCACTGTTTGTTACAAACTTCTTGACCATGCAGCTGAACTTCTATTTTGTATAGTTTTTTTTTACGGTTGCTTTTGATTGCTTCATGGAATCTAGCTGGTGAACGCAGGTAATGAACAATGTATGTCAACCGAAGCGCCTTTAAGGTTTTCCTCAACATGTGGAAAGCGATTCGAATGGAACATGAGGGTCCTCGATCCATTGTGCATTTTGTCATGGGATCAGCTGTGCGGTGTCCGCTTTTTGCCGCTGCAGTGGGTCTACTCCATCCTGAACTTTGGGGGTGCCGTCTTCGACAACCTCTACATGGCAACTCAGCTGGGAGTTGGAGCTCCAGACTTGGCTGAGGGCCACATCTAGTTGAAAACACACCTTGGTGAGGGCAACCTCCGCTGGGCCTTGGGATGAGATCCTCAAGGAACGTGCCATGTGCGCGACATGGCGGCGCATGGCAAAAATGCGTCAGGAGTCAATAACAGCAATAGGTAATGATCGCGCGAAACTCATGGGCTTAAGAGCTGTGACACCAATCTTCAAAGAACAACTTATATAATCTAGCACCAGCAATTCCGAAAACAAAACACATGAGTGTGCAAAAGCGGCGTATTCATTGGGGTTGGTTTCTGGAGGTTTGATTTCTGGCACGCAAAAAACAGGCAGTTAGTCATTTGGGTTTCCAGCAAGGTGCCAGCAGGCAAGGTTCTTTGTCAGATCTATGTCAGACAAGGGGTGAACAGATCACCAATGAATGAATATGAATATGAATAGATAGTAGAATGGGTCTATTGTTAGGTTCTGAAGATTGGATTGCGAGCAGGTGAGAGTTTTTTCTCAGTTGCAGGGTTTTGCTCCCCCAACACGGATTCCAGTCAAGACGCAGTGCATCAGATGCCAAATGACGCCAATATCATCAATAAAAACGCTGACGCTTTTTGAGTTTTGCCCAGCCGCCCCTGTGCTTCTTTTGGGGGTTATAGGCGGTCTATACCTGGCGCGGGCCATCTGGCTTTTGGGGCTGGCCCCGGCGCCCAGTCTCCGCCGGCTCAGATGGGAAGGGAGTGACCATCCGGTGACCATCCTCAGAGGGGATTTGTTCCCCAAACAGTGTATTCACACGGACTAGTGGTTAAGGGTGTCTAATGGGTGGTGCTCTGAGGCGTCTCAGGATGTTTTAAAACTTTTTCCACCAGATTTGGATTTTTAGTCGAGAGGGGTGGTTCATATTGTGTTCGAGCTCCACAAACCACTCTTCTGGACCAAGTTTCTAGGATTTTTGTTGGTTTTGTTGGTTTCACTTGAATTCACCTGACGGGATTTGAAAGAGATGTCAAAGGAAAGTCTATTAGCAAACCACATGGTAGTTGTTTGCGATCATTTTGTTGATATGTCCTTCTTCCCAGACTCTATAGCTACTATTAGTAGCCTATGGCGTAGATACTAGTAGTACAAAGTGCTGGCCTTTGCAGGATGACCTTTGCAGACTGGTACGTGTGCATGTTTGCGTGGGCCCCCAAAAGCTAGAAGAAGCCAGTGGCTTGCAGATTGTTTTGCATTGAATTATGGCCATGCACTTGCCACTTGCAAGAGGGTGCCTAATTCACGGTTCCAGCCTGCTGTGCTGGAGTCTTAGAATAGTGAGGTGCAAGAAGAAACACCCATGCACTCACACTCCTGCCCGATCAACGGCCCTTTTACCATAAGTACCAACGTATACCCACCGGCTGGTATAGTCGAATTCGATTTCGCAGAGATTCGGCTCTCAGTTTTGCTTCTTCGGCCCCGTCGAACCGGACGACCCTCCGCCCAATGTCGCTGACCTTCCTCGCACCCGGCGGACGCGGCGCGAACGCTCCGGCCGTGTCCGACGCGGTCACCGGTCGCGGAGCACCGGTGTGGTCGACAGGCCGGTGATGGGGGCGGAACTAGACGAGGGGACGACGTGGGAAACTGGGCAAGATGGAGTCCGGCCTCCTTGGAGGGGTTGTGTCGCGTGTGTCTGTGTTAATCTGGTTTTCAACCGGGCTGAGCCCTTCTCCCAAGCGGTTGGCCAGAAAGCTATGATATTATGGTGGACTTATGTGCCATTCATGCGGGGGATTAAGTATTATATACTAATATATTAATTACAAACATATTCTCTAGTTCGTGCATTTGATCACAATCTGTGTTTCCTGTATGGGTTTGTTTAGCTGATGAGACTGGCCACCCCCCCTCCCAGAAATGTCTCATTCGCCCCCACTACTACCCTCGTCTACGCCACATTCAAAAACGTTATTTCATGGTATTTCCCCAAGATTTCCCAGACTTGGCGACTTGCAAGCAAAGCAGCGAGATGAGTATAAGAGTAGATATTTTAAGAACATTTAATATTATATATAAATATTATAGATATTCTGATATTCATATTAAACCAGTTACTGGTTAATCCCACCAAGCACTCCCTGGACCAAGCCGCATCGTCAGGACATGCACTCAGGGGTGGAGC